CTAGCTGCTGAGTCATCTCTCCAGTACTATACCCCCATTTAAGAAAAGATTTTTTCATTTTTTATTTTGTGTGTGTGAGTGTGGGTCTGCCTTTATTTTATGTGCATGTGTGTACTTGGTGCTCATGGAAACCAAGAATGATTGTCAAATCCCTGGAATAGGAGTTGAAATTTGTTAGGAAGTTTCATGGAGGATATATATATGAATTTGTGTGTGTGTGTGTGTGAGTATATTGCGATGTGTGTGTGTGTGTGTGTGTGTGTGTGTGTGTGGTTGTGGAGTAGAGATCAGAAGGGGGCTTTGGATCTCTGGAGCTGGAGTTACAAGTGCTTGTGAGCGCCCTAACATGGGTGCTGGGATCCAAACTCCAGTCCTCTGAAAGGGCAGGAAATACTCTTTTATTTGGGGGTTGGGTATTTTTGTTTTTTGTTTTTTTAAAAAGTCTATCTGGCTGTCCTGGGATTCACTCTGTAAACCAGGCTGACCTCAAACTCACAGAGATCGGCCCGCCTCTGCCTCCCAATTGCTGGGACTAAAGGCGTGCACCACCACACCCAGCTATTAGGAAACACTTTTAACTGCAGAACTATTTTACAAATAACATTTTGTGTGTGTGTGTGTGTGTGTGTGTGTGTGTGTGTGTTATGAATGCAGATGTACAAGTACTTCGATTTGTATGGAAAGCGAAGGGAAGCTTTTGGGGAGTCACATACACACCCCACTACCACTTGGGAAAGATGGCCTGAGGCACAGATTCAGCTAGGAAGGTGGGGAGAGTGGGTGGGGAGCGACCAGAGGGAGGACTCTCCTCTTGAGATGCATCTGCTGGGATTGGAGTGCCGAGACTGTTTGCCACCAGGAAGTGAGGTAAAGCCTTTTATGGTGGCAGCGCACAAGTCGGGGAGAGGAAACCGCACTGCACCCCCGAAGTGCTGGGCAACCCATTACTTTGCTGCTCCGAGTAGATGGGTGTCTGGGGCTGAGAACGAAGTGAGTTCGCTTCTCTGAAACCTACACTGGTTGGGAGCAGGGTTTGAGGGCTGACTTCCTACCCGGTGTTGCTGCAAACCAGGCACTGTAGTACCTGAAGGCAAGGCCCTGGCTTGTGTCTGGAAGGAGCTCACTGGATGCATCTGCCTGTCTTTCTCAGGGAATGGAGGGCTGTGGTGGGGGCTGTGGCTGGACATGTCTGTGTGTGTCTTCACAGATCTAGAACTGACTCTACCAAGATACTTCTGCACTTGTTCTTACAGCAGTTAGAACAGGCTTAACACAACCCTGGAAAAACCTACCAGAATAGCCCACGTGGCCAGTTCTTCTTTCGTGTTCAGTCTTCCCAGCCTGGACAGAAGGCCTTCCCGTGACTGGCCTGCGGTCAGCAGTCTCAGGGTTCCCCTTCTCGGTCATACTTCCTATCCTAGCCCAGAGATCCTCTGCTGCTCATGCCTTCTGGTGCACGCCCTGGGGCAGCGCAGGGGCTCATCCTGTTCTCAGACGCTGGGGAAGGGCAGCTGATGGGAGAGGGTTGGCTGAAAGCCAGGGTTTGGACATCTGCAGCCTGGCACCTGCTTCCCGTCTCCTGGGCCACCTGCCCCCCCCCCCCATACTGGCATCTCAAGCTGCTCACTTGCATATCTCATTTTCAGAACCACTCAAGATAGCCTGAACCCATGCGGGCCACGTGTGTGCCCTCACGCACAGCAGAGCGTTCTCATGCATGTGGATGTCTTGGGGAGGGGAGGCCTACAGACTTTTGCATGCAGTCTGCTCATCTGGCCGACTGAAATTCTACTTTCATGAAGTAACTTTAAAACAGGAAGTGGGTTTCCAAAAATGTTCCCTTCTGACAGAATGGCGGTGGTGGGAGAGGTTCGTGGCTGTGTGGAACCTGTGGGTCTTTGAGACGTGTGGAGTTCCACACTGCTGCTCTGGGCCTCATGATGGTCTCCAGACCAATCCTAGGAATAGTCGTATTTATCTTAAGAGGCTCCTGTGTCTTTGCCTTTGACATTAATTAATTGTTCCCGTAGTCAAGAAAGAGCAGACACAGGGCTTTGAGTGGTGACCCCACCTAGGCACTGTTCCTGTACCAGCAGAGGTCTAGTCAGGCCTCGGCCTCCTGGGGTCTTTTGCCTTCTGGTCTCTGGCATGAAACAAGCTCATTTTCTTCTGTTGTCAAGCTCCTACTAATTGAAGACTTCCAGGGATTTTCATAAGACCAGAAGTTTTCAGAGTCTGTTTTTCCCTCAGCCAAGCTCTGCAAGCATCCTTAGAGGCTGAGGGCCTCTCTGGGAGAAAAGTTCTTTCTTAGGGCCTCCTGACCTCCCTCATTCTCCACAAACCACAGCTGTGTGCTGCACGCTAAGGGCATCTCTCAGTTGCCTTACTCGGTGGGATCAGATGAGGCCCGAGACCCGAGGTTCACTCAATAGCTGTCTGCTGTGGGGAGGCAGGTGCACACAGATCTTCCTTTTCAAGAAAGGGAGCCTCAAGGGAAGTTCTGGTGGAGCGTGCTGAGTTGGCTGCCCTGCCCGAGGCACTTTGAAGACAGTGCCCACTGTAAAGTTGGCTCCTTCCATTAGGGAAGGTCACAGCCCTGTCATCGGCTCCTGCCATGGAGTATGTCCCAACCCTGCTACAGTTCTCAGTGCAATGAGAGGACACTGTCTCTGGGATACCTCCATGCTTTCCTGGCAGTCTGCACTAGGGATTTCTGGGCACACAGTGAGTGTTCTCTGCAGTACTTAAACTTAATGTTTGGCTACTTGAAGGGAAATACCCTCTTCTGGAAGACTGACAAGCCATGCACCCTGGAGAACTCAGTGAACCTCATGGGACCTGAGTGGTATTGAAGTTTGGAATTAGACAGCCCTGATGCCACCTGTCATGACCCTGGTCCTCATCAGGAAACCAGCATTAACAGAGGAAAAGACTAAGAGGTTAGGGGAAGGGACTAGGCCTAGTGTGTCCACAGTAGAGCGGGTGCTGGCCGCGATACATGCATGTGTTTGTGGCTTCACCGGACTTCACTGATCCTGGTGAAACACACATCATAAAAAACGTCTTGTGAGTGTATTCACAGTGCTGTACAGACACTGACACGCACTGGATCCCAGGTCCTTTCAACACTCCAAAGACAATCCTATGACCATCACACCACTGCTAAGGGTGGTCAGAGTCTGGTCCAGGTGTTTCTAGGTGCTCGGTCAGGGAACTGACATAAAGATGCAGAAAGACTGGAAAGTAGCAAGGAAACTACCCAACAGCAAAGCCATAGTACAGCTCTGTCAAGAGTGACAGCAGGCACTTGGTGTGGTGGTGCACACCTTTAATCCCAGCACCCAGGAAGCAGAAACAGGTGGATCTTTGTGAGTTCGAGGCCAGACTGGTTTACAGAGTGAGTTCCAGGACAGCCAGAGCTACAGAGTGAGACTTGGACACCCTCATGGAGGGCTTCACCCTCCCTGGGAAAATGAGGGGGTATTGGGGGGGTTGGTGGGAGTGCATGGGAGGAGGGGGAGGGAAAGGGAGAGGGACCTGGTATTGACATGTGAAGCAACCTTGTTTCTAATTTAAATTTAAAATAAAAAAGAGTTTAAAAAGAGAGAGAGAGGAGAGAAAAAAGAAGAGAGAAGAAAAGAGAGGAGACAGAGAAAGAGAGAGAGAGAGAGAGAGAGAGACAGAGAGAGAGAGAGAGAGAGAGAGAGCAGGTCACATGAGTGAGTATTCAGGGCCCCAGGTTATTGACTGGATTTCCTTGATGGGGTCTAGAGGAAAGAGTGGCTGGTTACTACAGGTATGTCATGGTGGCTCTCTATTTTGACAGACATGCCTAAGATATGACTTTTACTGTACGTTCCCTTCCTATAATGCATGTGATCCCAATCGTATGCACACTCAGTTGTACATAGACGTAAGATGGCAAATAGAGGACTCTCTCTAAAAATTCACTTAGATGACACAGTTTGCTCTATTGTTCATCCACCCAAAACTAGCTCAGGACAGAATGGCCCCCTACCAAGGTAACTAGTTATGCCTGGAGTATGAATGAATGGAAACATGAATACTGTTTGATAGTTGGTGGGGGAAGGGGTGGGCTGTGTGTGTAGCTCCATGCAGGTGGGGCCCTAGGTCACTACGTGCATTCATTGTTAGGATAGCGGTGTGTGTGCACATAGCATTGTTAGGATAGCAGTGAGTGTGCACATAGCATTGTTAGGATAGCGGTGTGTGTGCACATAGCATTGTTAGGATAGCGGTGCGTATGCACATAGCATTGTTAGGATAGCAGGGGTTGTGTGCACATAGCATTGTTAGGATAGCGGTGAGTGTGCACATGGCATTGTTAGGATAGCGGTGCGTGTGCACATAGCATTGTTAGGATAGCGGTGCGTGTGCACATAGTACATGTAGGTGAAAGCCCTAGGCTGCCAGTGCATTACTGGAAGAAGGGCGTGTGCACATCCGTGATGGAGTGAAGTCCCAGGTTGCTAAGCTTTTCTTTGTGTTTGTCCCCCTCACCTTCATTCCCATTTCTCCCTCCTACTAATCTTCCTGCTTCTGGGGTCTGCACATTCTAGGTGTTTTCCCATGAGCAGCCTCTTGTGTCTGCTTTCCTTCCTGTAGCCTAACAGCTCCAAGGTTCACTCAGGTTGGAACTTGGACCAGTGAGTGCTTCCTTTCTCCCTCAAGACCGAGTAACATTTCAATGAGCTCTGAATTCACAGGCTTCCCAGGATGGTCCCGAGTTTGGTGGAATGCCACTTTTATTGTTTTTGAATGTTCAGTGTAGCACTCTTGTTTCAGGATTCTTGGCTGCAGATGCACTAGTAGGTATGGGGTAGGCCAGGCTGCTGTGGGCCCTCTCAGGGAGCTTGGCTCTGGAGGCAGCTACAGCTCCCAGCTGCAGCTCTTCCACGGCTGGCTGGAGTGTGGAGCTGGTTTCAGGCCAGGAAAGGCTGTTCTGGTGGGTAGCAGTCCAGCGCCTCTATCTCCTCCAGATGCAGGAAAAGGCCAAGGAGATCTACATGACCTTCCTGTCCAATAAGGCCTCCTCTCAAGTCAACGTGGAGGGGCAGTCTCGGCTCAGTGAGAAGATTCTGGAAGAACCACACCCCCTGATGTTCCAGAAGCTCCAGGACCAGGTACTGTGACCTCCTTGCCTGTGTCTTGATCTGGAAAGCTGTGTTCACTCCAGGCCTGGGAGAATTCTTCAGGGAAATGCCACATTCCTTAGGAAATCCGTCACCCAGCTGTACAGGCTGAGGTTACTGAGCCCTGATTGGTGAAGGTTGGGGAACCCCAGGTTCTGAATGTAGACTGTGTTGACTTTTGTTCTATGTGCCATGGGATAGGAGGTTGGATCTGTCTGAGGACACAGGTTCAAGAAATGTGGCAACCATTGAAGGGAGGGACAGGTAGGAAAGTCTTGAAACAGTGGCAGGGAATCTAAGACTGTTTTTTGTACAAATGGTCAAACGACTCCCTTACTGACAGTGGCCCAAAGCTGTAAGTAAATTTATAATGTGGCCTCTCAGTCATAACGACAAAGAGAAAAGTTTGTAGTATATTCCACTTAAAACCAGAAGAGGTAAGTTTAAAAATGGACATGTTAAAGAGGTGAGTAAGTTTCCTGGCAGAATGTCTTATGAGGAATATTCAATAAATGTCACTAGACCAAAGGGATGCGGCCTGAAATTCAGACCTGGATTATAAATGTGTGTGCATATCTACACTCCGCTGTGAAATGTGATCTCCACACCAGGTCAAGGGTGTGCTTCTGCTGGGAAGGCAGATTGAAGTTAAGGGACACACGGGGAAGAAGTAACATGAAGCAGCTGTTGAAGGCAGAGACAGAAGATTCTGGAAACAGCCACAAGGATTCAGAGTAGCAGGGAACCTGGGGCTGTTTTTGTACACATAGACAAATACCTTCCTCACTTCCTGTCCTGAGGAGGCCACTCCAACTTGAATAAACTAGTCTCGTGAAGGGTGTTTCAAAACTGATGATAATCCCAATCCAAGGGTTAACTGTTCAGAGCTATAGGTTATACATGGTGTAGGACCACCTCCCCTCGTTCCCAGGGAAGGCTGTTTTAACAGGTCTGAGGCTACACACTGTGCAGACTTTCTGTGTGTTAGCTGAGCTTTTGCTATTTGGGAGGGGCTTTTTGATCACCTGGTGCATAGAGCCTAGAGCAGTGGTTCTCAACCTGTAGGTCATGACCCCTTTTGGGGGGGTCACATATCAGATATCCTGTATATCGGATATTTACATTATAATTCACAACACCAGCAAAATGACCGTTATGAAGTAGCAACTAAATAACTTTATGGTTGGGGGGTCACCACAGCATGAGGAACTGGGTTTAAGGGTCGAAGCATTAGGAAGGTTGAGAACCACCGGGATAGAGGATGTCTCAGTGTCTACGAGGGACATCTTTGCTCATCATCTGATAGAAAACAAAACACCCAGGCAGAAACACAAGCAGAAGCACTTTGAGAACAGTTTCCAACTGACACAGTGGCGGGTATAGATTCCAGGTAATTTTGAACCAAGTTTGAGTGTTGAAGGAACTCTGGGTCTCTGGAGAGACTCATTAAGGCCATCTGCGGAGTGACTTTGAGCTGTGGGCATAGGTTTTGGAGAGAGATGCAGACAGGGGAAGGCAGATTTTGCGACTGCAGCCACGTGGGCACATCTGTCTATTCTGGCCCTCAGGATCTTCTAAAAGGCTCTGTCGGGTGCTCTAAACCACATCCGGTGTTGAGAGCCTGGCCAACTATTAGATTCTAGATTATCTGCCGCCACAGTGCCCACTACTGTTGGGCTGTCCTGAGAGCTGTTGTCTCGCTTGGCATGAACTCTCATCCATTCTCCAATGAGAGTTCTTATCCTCATGTTGTTGACAGCAGCAGCAAGGGTCATGGAGTTGTAGAGGTCCATTAGTTAAAGTCACTCGGACAGTAAAAGTTTCTAGAGGCTGATTTTCCACCTGCCTACCTTCCTCCCTCATGGCTACCACTATCTTCTAGTTCAAGGGCGGCTTCTCTGCTCGGCAGAGGCCCGTGATACCCTTGGGACAGAGGGAGTGTGGAGATATGTGGACACAGGCAGTTGCTTTACGGGGCTCAGAGTCCAAGGTGGGAATGAGATGAGAGAGGCTGATGGGATTCCGCACAGAGGCCTGCACACAGTGCCAAAGCCCAACAAGACATCCAAAACAAAGCCAGCTGCTGTGGTCTGCACCCAGCCCAGCAAGTGTCTGCTGGGGTGGCTAGGGGTGGGGTGAGGGGGACTGGTGGCACAGAGAGGAGGCATGTGCCAGAAAGGGTGATTTTTTCCCCCTGAATGACAACATGATTCTTATTCTGAGAACATAGTTTGGCCTCAAACTCAAACTTTGTTCTTCTGCCACACAAATGCCAGGGTCACAGGTGTGTGCCACCATACCTGGCTAAGTGACAACAGTTTTTAAAATGCTTTTTAAAAATCCACCTGATAGTAAAAGGCACTTGGGAACTAAAATATATTGAAGGCACCCACCCACCACCACCACCACCATGATTTCACCTGGAGATAGTCACTAAACAACATTCCACCTCTAGATACCCATCTTTCATGTTCTATAAATAACATGTGCTACCACACTCGTTACCAATGCGGTTCAGAGTTTGACTGTAAAGGAAGTGTTTTCTATCCTGTTGTGAAGCACTGTTTGAGAGAGAGAGAGAGATAGAGACAGAGGGAGACTAACTGTCCTCCTAAGGTATAGGTGGGTGGATGAGAAAAAGTTGCAGCCGTCCATGTCTTGGTATCCCTGGAGACTGGCTGCGGGAACCGTCCCGACACACACACCATGTGCTCAAGGCCTCCCTGTCAAGTAGTGTTAGGTGGCGTGTAACCTACACACATCTTCCCACATGGTTTAAATCTGCTCTGACGCAGTGCCATGTCTGTAGTCACATTATATTTCTTAGGGAACTGTGACAGAAAGGAAAGCTCGGTACACATTCAGCTTATGTTCTCCTGTGGCTGCACAGCACTGCCTGCCTGTGCAGCATTTGCTGGTTTCCTGGAGGTGGGGAAGGCTGAAGGCACCTGGTTTTTGCTTCATGTCAGGGCCTAGACACCAAGAGGCTCAGCATCACCTGTAGTCTTGGCTCCCACAAAGCTACTTTGAGGGCCCTGCTTTCTGAAGTGAGAGACCCCAAGATTTTAAAAACGTTTTCATTTTTGATGTATTTATTTGGGGGGCGCATATGTGTGTTTGGGTACATTTGTGTATGTGTTGCATATAAAGGCCAGAGGTCAACATTGTCTTCCTCAATTGATTCCCACCTTATTTTTGAAAGATATTTCCCATTGACCTGGAGCTCATGGGTTAGATTAGACTGATTGGACAGGCGTCCTCTAGTGCTGGGATTACGGACATGTGTCACCGTGCCCAGCTTTTAGGTAGGTGCTGGGCATCGGAACTCAGGTCATCATGCTTGTGCGGCCAGCACTTTGCTGACTGAGCCATCATCCCCCAGTTCTAATTTAAGGTCTCCCTAAGCCTATTCATAGCTTCTGTGTCACCATGACCACCATGTGACTTAAGGTGGGCCTACCTCAATAGGCTGCTAACTTCTGCTTTCAGCCATTGCCACCAGAAAAACTTTATAGGTGGTCAGCCACACATAATGTGGCCTCGTTCTGCTGCTCTCGGGGAAGATGGTGAAGCAGCATAGCAAACACCCTTGAGCTCTGATTAGAAAGCCCTGCATCCCTACACCCTTAAAAGAGCCTCTTAGGCCCTTTACTCAGGTCCTTCTAACTCTTGGCTTACAGACAGTTCTAATAGGCTCTTCAGTTCAGAGATTTGATGTGAAATACCAGTAGGGGCTGGATGGCTGAAAGCAGTACGTACAACAGGGAGCAGGCAGACGACGACACTGAACATTGACCACAGTACACACGGGGCCCATGTCCCCACACAGCATGGGCTTCTCCACACTATAGGACAGCAACTTGATTGGTGAGCTAATGGTGCTCACAAGACATCAAGGAGAGGCCAGCGGTGGCCAGTGTGTTGTGTAAAGAACGCATAGCGCATGTCAGTCAAGTGTTTCAGCGAGAGCAAGAGAAGTGAGGGGCTTACCTCCCATCTGGGAAAGCTCCCTTTGGAATAAGGGGGGCGATGGCTGCCCGATTTAATTTGTGAGTTTGGCTTGTCTGTGTGCCCAGTGGTGACTGGTCAGGAGAGGTGGGGGTTGTACTGTGTGTGTCGCTTGCGAACTGTAGTCTAAAGGTGGAGGCTGAGCTTCGCAAGAAGCAATAAGGGAGGTCACTTGGCTTCTTCAGTGACTATGCTAAGAGCTATTGTGATGCAAGGAAATCAGCTCCTGTCCATCCGTGGGGACAAAGCTGAGAGACATCTGGGAGGGGCACGGGGGTCTCTTGGTCCCTGGAGAGGCCAGAGCCCTGAAAGACAGCAACTGCTGGGAGAGCCCTGGGAGGCAGCATGTTCCAGGAGAAGCCAGTATAAAGACTGCCGCTCCCAGGCATCAGCCTGGAAAGCCAGCATGGGACTGATCAAGACCCCCTGAATCTGGGTGTCAGTGAGGAGGCCTAGGGAATCTATTGAGCCTTGGGCAGCAGATCAGTACCCATCCCAAGTATACACATGGACTTTGGACTCCCATAGAACAATGTGAGGTGCACTCTCACCCCGAACTCTTGGGGAAGGGTCTAGGCCCTGCCCTATATGAAATGACAGACTATGCACACCCCCATGGAGGGCCTCACCCTCCCTGGGGAAATGAGGGGATAACGGGGGGGAGGGCTCAGGAGGAAGGGAGGGAATGGGAGAGGGACCTGGAACTGACTTGTGAAGCAACCTTGTTTCTTATCTAAATTTAAACTGGAAAATAAAATTAAAAAAAAAGAAAAAGAAAAAAAAAAGACTGCTGCAGGTGTGGGCGGGGTGTGTTGGGAAGGTCATTGTACAGTGTCTGAGTGACAGGGTGGGAGCTTGTGGAACCCTGCAGCTATGGTGCCAGTTTAATGGAGGAGTTTTGAAATTTAGCTTTTATTTATTTTTTAATCAGGTGGGTCAGTTACACTAAGAAAGTTTGATCTTGAAAGCTGGCCCACTTGGCC